TATATCTATATCTATATCTATATCTATATCTATATCTATATCTATATCTATATCTATATCTATATCTATATCTATATTAGTGTCACAACCTCTGGTAAGCCCCAATTATGGGAGGAAGCTAACTGCCTTCTTATACCTTCTTCCCTGGCTTCAGCTGATAAGGAGGAGACCTGTGGCTTGATGGCTAAGACGTTTGCCTAAGATGCCATACAGCACAGGTTCGAATCCCAGTAAGGGTATGGCTAGCTGATGAGAGCTAAACAGCTTGAAATAGATCTATACTAGTCTCCCTTTATTTATTTATCAGCACAAATAAACACACACACACACACACACACGTATGTATGTATGTATGTATGTATGTATGGCTAGCTGATGAGAGCTAAATAGCTTGAAATAGATCTATACTAGTCTCCCTTTATTTATTTATCAGCACAAATACAACATGCATGTATGTATGTATGTATGTATGCATGCATGCATGCATGCATGCATGTATAATCTTTTACACTTCAAGTCCCAAAGCATCATTGTCAAACAATTCTTACTGTAACTGGTACATAGCCAAAATCAAGCTCAATCAAGTCCATTAACTGGTATTAAATCCATCATCTGTAGTAATCAGGAAACACTTTTGTTTCAACTTCTGCTGGATAAATACACATTTGTTTCAACTTTTCCTTGTAGAATGTGGTTTCAAGATTGCTCATTTGCTTTTCATAAATATAAAAGCAGAACTTGGTACCATACAATATGGCAGAATAGAGTGATGCTATTACTTCCCATATACTGGACATTATGATTCTACAAATGCAGACCAAAGGTTGTGTTACACTTTTTAACAGCTGTGCTTGTGATGTTATAGCTGCCTCATGTTCAGTTGGTGATCGGTGGATTGGATGTTGCACACTCTACACCAGGGATGAAATTCAGCAGGTTCTGGAGAACTGGTAGTGGAAATTTTGAGTAGTTCGGAGAACCAGCAAATATCACCTCTGGCTGGCCCCAGAGTGGGGTGGGAATGGGAATTTTGCAATATCCTTCCCCTGGAGTGTGTTGGGAATGGAGATTTTGCAGTATCCTTCCCCTGCCATGCCCACCAAGCCATGCCCACAGAAACAGTAGTAAAAAAAATTGAATTCACCACTGCTCTACACTAGTCTCAACCTTAGCCACTTTAAGGTGAGTGGACTTCAACTCCCAGAATTTCCTAGCTATGCTGACTAGGAATTCTGTGAGTTAATGCCCATTCATCTTAAAGTGACTAAAGTTCAGAAATACTTCTCAACAGCAAACCCTTCCTTAACTCTTTCCTACTGAAGGGAAGAGCCTAGAAGCTAAATAACCATAGAACATTTATTGCTTGTCTAGAAATATCTTAGAAACAACACTGAAAGTGTTCCAGTGTTTATTTGCTTGTTTCTGTTTTAGATTTCTTCCCATCATAATCAAAAGTCTTTCATCAGGTTATACTTAGCAACAGAGTTCACACCATCATGCTTAACCAGATTGATTAAATGTTTAGGATGTTCATTTAATAAGCATGTTGTGTAACAGAGCAGCCAGTGTATACCACAAAGTTAGGAGACAGGAGATACTCATAGCTCTCTTTGTAATTTACACTACATTGTGCAAGGATTTATAATGCTCAGAAGGAACTCAGGAGAAAAAAAGAGATGATCTTTCATGACTGGACTTACACCAGAGGCTTCACTCTCAATTTATTTCTCCTTAAAAGCTCCTAAATATGAATTGATTCCTTTGCTGTCTAATATTAGGAATCTTGATCTTTAATTATCAGACCTGGCAGTCCTCATTTAGCAAAATTGGGACAGACAATTTGGTCATTTAAGCAAAGTGGTTGCTAAGTGAAACTGCAACTGGGTTTATAATTTACTTCCACTTTCCTTTGCTGTAATCTGAGGATTACAGCAGCAGCAGCAATTGGAAGTGGAGTTGCTGTCACTAAATGATGCAATTGTAAAATGCAATGTCATATGACCACATCAATCCTGGTTGTTGTTGTAACCCCATGATGCACGAATAGTTAACCAGGAAATGGTGGGAGTCCCAAGTAAGCAGCATGGGAGGGGGTGTTACTTTTACATACCATCATTGCAAATAGTCATTGTAACTGGTGAGGACTACTAGATGGTTTATTAAACTTATGGTTTATTAAACTTGTATGCCGCCCTATTCCCAGAGGGACTCAGATGAGGACTGCCTGTATATAGATTCATTCTTATAAATGCAATGTATCTAAAACCTCATGAGCTGCTGTATGTTCCCATAATCACTGCTTTGCCTAGCCTGATATTACTTACAGTCAGAGAATAGCTCTTTTCCTATGTTTAATGTAATCATACAATTTCTATTTATGTGTTTGTGAAAGAAAAATTACATATTTGAAAGAACAAAATGGGGAAAAAATAAAATGCATCAGGGACAATAGGGCACGTATGCACACCCCCTTAGGAACCTCTTAAATATGGGATGCAGACCATTGAGCTCAAGTTGGAATTAAGACTGTGAAAATTAGTAGCTGAAACCACCGAACCAGGCAAGATATTCAAATCTTTGACAACTTGGTTGCAAAAATTGAACTTTTTTTTACAATACAATACAATAACTTACAATCAACTTTAAGGCACTTTACATTAATTTCTGTAGCAGGTCTGTAGAAATATTCCAAATTATAAGAAAGATCCGCAGAGGAGCTTGTGTGTTACGCATCCCTGACTTCTATGAAGGAAGAACTACTTACCTGGCTGATCTTGCACAAGAGTTCCCAGTTCACAAGCTGCTCCAAAGGTATATGGTTTGCAAAAACACATGCACTGAGTTCCATCCACAGCTGGCTGACCACCATTCTGACACGGCTTGCACTTGCAGGGGTCATTCTCAGTCAAATACTCTTCAATTGCCTTTTTCAGGTACAGTTTTTTGACCGAAGCACATGGGACTTCCTTCACCAACTCATAGAGTGGTGCCAGCTAAATAGAAGGCACACCATTAAGAATTCCACTATCCTGCCTGGATATATCTGGTATACTTGAATTCTAAACTAAATCTACACAGACAAGTAGTCGGCATCACTTCATATTTGCATTAACATCCAAAGGACCTTATACAACTACATAAATTAGTATGTATGTATGTATGTATGTATGTATGTATGTATGTATGTATGTATGTATGTAGTAAGTTACCTCATTGTAAATTGATTTCCTACCCCAAAACTTTAAACAGTAAATGTGATTTTAACAGCAGCCTAAGTCCCTTCTGCGGTTCCATAGTACTTTAAAAGTAGATTTCTACTATATAAATGTACCCATGTTCTCAGTGCAGGCCTGACGGGTACATTTCTAGAGTAAGTTTCAAAAGCAAAAACTCCCACCAATAATATCAAAAGTGAAAAAGAGAAAGTAGGAAAATAAAAGCCACAGTGAAAGTAATTCGGATGCAAATCAAACCTTTTAAGAATTGAAATTACATTTGCCTTCCAAGATGCCATCTGTTTAACATTTCTGAATAATGAAAAACAGATCAACTGCTTTGCATAATATAACATAAAATAAAGTAAAAACATTCAGACAAATGCTTGTGGGGGGGGGGGGGAAACAACAGCATTTTTGACGCCAAAAATAGAAGGGGGTGGAGAGAAGAGAGGGAAGGGTTATAGTTATTTAGAGACTTATAATTAATCAGTAATCCATGAAACAGCTTGCTGTAACTGACCTGCATTTAAAACAGGTCTCCTAGCTATGTTCCATACAAATCTATGTATATTTTTGCATAGTTTATATCTGACGTTGTATAATTTCTACTGGCCCAGGAGCTAAAAACAACATTTAGACTAATTAAAATATTTTAACTAATTTGCTGACAAATACAAAATGGTCATAAGCGTGTTGCTTTCATTTCGTTACTCTTCTGCTTAGCAAAGTCAATGGAAAGCTGCTTTTATTGTCAACAGCAATTCTAAGGAACCCAAACAAATATAGGAAAGCAAGGCAAACATCTTATTTTAATTTGAAATAGGAAAGGATGAAATCAACTTAGAGCAGTGGAGGCTCCAAAACAGAATCCTGGGGTGATATGTAAGAGGTAGCCATAGCTAGGTAGAGAGATTATGTGGGTCAGGAATTCACAACCCGAGTCTTAAGAGTAGTGTTTCTCAGCTTTGGCAACTTTAAGATGCATGACTTCAACTCCCAGAAGCCCCCGCAGCTTAAAGTTGCCAAGGTTGACAAACATTTCTTTAGATTAGAACAGTGGTGTCGAACTCAGATCATCACAGCGGCATTATGTGACGCAGCAGGACTTCCTCTGCCCTTTGCTAAATTGGGCGTAGTCATTGCATGATGCATCAAGCCCATGGGCCGGGAGTTTGACTGCACTGGATAAGAACATCAGTAATTCCCATAGAAAGCAATCACATAACCCCATGTGATTCTTTTTTTAAAAAAAAAATGTGTGTGAGAGTATATGCAACTAAGGTCCAAGATCCTGAAATCTAACAATATCTGATAATCTTGCAAGATTCAAATCATCTTTTATAAAACTCTTGAGAGAAAGATGTCTGCCCCTTTACCTGATGGCCACCTCATACCAACTCCCAATACACCTGGTGTAGATTTATGAGTGTTACTCAACCTCAGGAGTTAAAAGTCCATACATCTTAAAGTTGCTGAGGTTGAGAAACATTGTAAAATACAGGGCTAACATATTCTGGCGGCAAAATCTAAATCAACACTAGATTGTAGCAAGCAGATACACAATCTTCTAGCTTTCTGCTGCCATCTAACAGTGATCAGGGTGTATACAGCCAATATGGTAGGCCAAATTCCCTCAACACTGTCAAACTATTTATTAAGACTGCATTACTATTAATATTAATCTTCTTAACGTCTTATCACCATCTATTCCCACTTATGACTGTATGACTATAACTTTCTTGCTTGTATCCTTACGATTTATATTTATTGTTTCCTAGTATGATTTGATTGCTTATTTATAGGCTATGACTATCATTAAGTGTTGTACCTTATGATTCGAAATGAATGTATCTTTTCTTTTATGTACACAGAGAGCATATGCACCAAAGAAAAAATCCTTGCGTGTCCAATCACACTGGCCAATAAAGAATTGTATTCTATTCTGTTCTGTACTATTCTTTTCTATTCTATTCTAATGGAAGGAATGAAAATATTAAACAAGTTCCATGGTCCCTTATATATTTAGCAATCATGTGAACAAAAATAGGCATATAGATATAGATAGTGGGATCACGCATTGAGATAAGCCTTATTGTGGCTTATTTGGAATTGGCATATAATATACACCAATATGGAACAGCCAGAAGCAAGATCCCATTAATCATCTTTATGTACAAAAATACTCAGCTTTGGATTATTGCAAAAGATTGTGCTAATCTAAAGCAATCAAAGTCTTACCTTTTTTTTAATAACACTGGGATAAAGAGACACTGTATGAGCCCAGCTGGAATATCGTTGGGTATTTGCAACCGGATTGTTAATGTCTATAAAACTTAAACCAGCCACAGTTCCAGGAGCCCCTCCCTCTACATACGGGTCAGTTTTAATCTGATCGTTGCGGACTCCTGCAAGGACAGATAGCACATTTTAAAATTGAACAACTTATATTGTCCAACAATAAACCCAATCAAAAGACTTATGAGCCTGCTCCAGAGATGGGTTCCTACCGGTTCGTCCCACCGGTTCGGACCGGTTCGGACAAGTAGGTAGTAACTCAGCCGCCCACGCACCCGAAACGGTTGTATTGTCGGCAGTGCCATCTTGATTTTTGGTTCTGTGCATGCACAGAACAGCCTCCATTGCAGAAATATAATCCCCCCCTTTTCTAAAGTTCTGTACATGGGCAGACCTGTTTTGATGTAAATGTGCACAAAGTGAGTGAACACGCGCAAACTTTTTTGTTTGCCAAACCAGCAGTAATGCTGGTAGCAACCAGTGGTGGGTTGCAGGCGGTATGCCCCAGTACGGGCATACAAGAGCCTGCCCAGAGCACAGGGTACCGTTCCAGTACGGTGCTCTGGAGGGCCCACCCGCTCGCCTTACCTGTTCTTTAAAGCCTTTGGCGCTTCTGCGCACGCACATGACACGTACAGGACCTGAGCGACGCTCCGCCGAGCAACTGGAGTGTCGCGGAGGCTTGCAGAGGCATTGCTGGCAGGTACAATGAATGCGTGCACCACTTGTGTGTGTGCACACGCTGCGCTCATCCATCTGGATGGCACTGGGCCCATTCCAACTATACTGGTTGGAACAGGATCCGGAACCCACCACTGGCAGAAACCCACCCCTGGCCTGGTTAATAAACATGGTAAATCACAAGTGCTCTTAAGAGGTTTATATTTTATAAAAATGCAGAGCTTAAAACAATTGTATCCTTATTTTAAACACAGAATTCCAAGTTTTTAGAGTAACCCAGCCTTTCTTAAGGTACAATAGCTTGGAAGAGCAGCAGAGGGCCGCTGTTACTTTCTAGATAGGCATTTTGTAGGTAAAATGATTCTTATTTTCTCACAGCATTTCTACCTTGAAAGAAATGCATCATGTTCAAGTGAGCTGAATTGTCCTTTTCCAATAATATATGAGTTTAATATTTCTAGAATCATCCCATTATTCAAAGTCCTTTAACAAAATATTTAGTCCATCAACATGGAATGCTGACAGTGAACATTCTCATATCTTCCTGGGAAAATACCTGCAGTGCCTTACCTGAAGACTGTTTTATCACTTCATTGAGAGCTTCACATTCCACTTTCTTCTTCTTTACAAAGAAAAAATTGTACCCAGAAGTTTTGCAATTATGCATATCCGTTAGACTGAACCCTAAAGGAGCAGATAAGCATTAGAGAGGTTTCATTGCATGAAAGTGAATTCATCTTTCAGGTTGATCCATAGCTTTTGCAGTTATAGGCCCCAAGATAACCCTACTATTTAAACAGAACAAGTATATTTATTGATTCTACTTTTATGTAGAAACCAATCACAACCACCCATTTTAAATATTTATCTTGATAACAAATATAATTTATGTAACTCAACAATTCATAAAAGCAAACCGTGGATGGAAAAGGAAATCTAATAAACCAAATAGTGCCATGAATTTTAGTAAGGACTAAAATGGTTTTAAGAAATGCTTCAGTATTCATAATGCTAAATGAAACTAGCAAGACTTAGTTTCATACTGAAGGCCATTCCAGAAATAGCCCTGCCTTCACAACTATACAACATACTGGAGGTTCACATTATATCACAGGTCTGCGACTAAAAAGCCGTTTGATTATTTTCATCTAATTTCCATGTATTTTGGTGTGCTGA